GCATTAAACCACGAGTTGCAAAGAGAACAACAGTACGACATTGAAGCATTGGCCGAAATAGTTCGTACAAATGTTACACAATTAAATCAACAACAAAGAATTGCGTACGACACTTTAATAGAAGCTGTGAACAGTGGAATTTATTTCCTTGATGCTCCCGGAGGAACTGGAAAAACATTTTTAATTTCATTACTTTTGGCGAGGATCAGATCGCGAAATGATGTTGCTCTAGCGTTGGCTTCATCTGGAATAGCAGCCGACTCTGCTAGAAGGCGGGCGAACTGCCAACATTCTGCTTGAAAATTACCATTAAACATGCAAATCACCGAAACACCAAATTTGCAACAATCGCCAACCCCCCAAATCAGCGCACATGGCCAAGATCCTACACAGTATTCAAATGGATGTTGTGGGAGAATGCCACAATGGCCCAAAGAGTCACTGGACAACGAACAAACGTTAAAGATCTTCGTGACACACCATAATATTTGTTGAGCTGGTATTTCTTGTTCGTTGTCTGTCTCAGGTGATTTTCGTCAGAACTTTCCAGTTTTACTACCCCCGATCAACTGTTGCTGATGAACTAAATGCATGCCTAAAATCATCGAATTTGTGGCAATACGTAAAGACACTCCACATGCGGGTATTTTTGCAACAAGGTGAAACTGCAAATGTGTTTGCAAAGCAGTTGTTCGACATTGGAAATAATAAAGTTGCAGTGGACACCTTGACCGGATTCATCACATTACCCAAAAATTTTTGTCACATCACAGTCTCAAAAGAGAAGCTTATTCAGCGTGTTTTCCCAGATATAGCGCAAACGTTCAATAACCATAATTGGCTGGGTGAACGGGCAATATTGGCGGCGAAAAATAAATATGTGGAGGATCTCAATGCGACCATTCAGAATTTTCTTCCAGGACAGTTGGTTTCCTTCAAATCAGTCGACACCGTTATGAACTAGGATGACGTAGTCAACTATCCCACGGAGTTTTTAAATTCACTGGAATTGCCTGGATTACCACCTCACAATTTGCAGTGAAAAATAGGATCGGTTGTCATCATGTTGCGTAACATTAATCAACCTCGATTATGCAATGGAACAAGACTGGATGTGAAAATACTGATGAATAACGTCATTGAGGCAACAATCATAAAAGGAAAATACAAAGGAGAGGATGTCTTGATCCTGCGGATACCGATGATTCCAACGGACTTACCATTCGATTTTGAACGCTTACAATTTCCAGTACGTCTGGCCTTTGCGATGACCATAAATAAATCGCAAGGACAGTCGTTAGAAATTTGTGGAGTAAAATTAGTTTTCGTGTTTCGCGCATGGACAATTATACGTCGCGTGTTCGCGCGTCGGAAAACCGTCTTCTTTTATTTATTTACGCACCACAAACCAAAACAAATAGTATAGTTTATGAGAAAGCTTTAAATTGATTAACATACATCATAACAGTGTGTGTCTGTAAATATGAAATTTAAACCTTATAAATAGCCAGTATTTCAGAAAAACTCTGTTTTGTAAGTAAGCAACATGATGTGTCGAAAATAATAACAAAACTTCATGCTTTATTCAAATAATGCTTTTTTATTAAATACGGATTCGATTTGTTTGTTTTAAAATTATTTTATACAAAATTTTAGGTCTTTTATTTATCGTTGATGCAGTACGATGTCTGCCGGGTTAGCTAGTATAAAATAAAAATAGGAAGCAATGCCATAGATGTTTAAAGGAGATTTTCAATAAAGGTTTATTCAGTATTATCGAGATATTTCTTAGAACAATTCACACCTCTTCCTTAAAAATATTTGAAATAATTATTCAATATTCTTTGACAGTAAGCTTTTCGTTATAGTTATAAAACTATTAAAAAAGTTTTTATTCTTGTGAAAGCTACGTGACTGAAAAGCTGACTTGAAGGTTTCACCGAATCACTGCTGATAACGAAAATACTGCTACAGGTAAAACACAAACCAAACCTAACAAGGCACGTCTTCACTCTTCACGTACTCCCACATCCCTCCACAATTAAGTACACAGCATTTGTTGACCTCGACAAAACGTTAAATGAATGTTTTCTCTACACGCATAAGAAACAATCTTAATTGGTATCAAGTAACTAATAATAGTACTTCTAGCTGTTGATGTGTGTGCGAATCTTGAATTAATAATTATGCAAATAAACTTCGTCAGTCTGCGCAAACCACGGCGTACACAGAAAGCGTAAAAAGTATAAAGATAGAGGACTCTAAGCCTTCTAAGCGTGACGTCTCAAATTTGGCCACCATCACCAAAGATTAACATACAGGTGTATATTAACATATAGGTTAATTATTAGGATTAACATATTGGTAGTATAAGCACCGAACAAGAAAACAATTCAGTGGAAAGTTCACGAATAACTCATGTGAATTACGATGTGATGAACGTATCATTGGGCCTGAAGCCTCAAAAGTTTAGTTTTTAGGGCTCTTGAACGCTTCGCTTAGGAGTTATTTAACGGTGTAACTGATTGAGATCTGCTGGTTGCGTTTGACATAAATATTTAGATGCGTTTTGTAACCAAATATTTCATATTTTTAAAGTCAAAGTGCAATTTGTCAAAGCTTCGTGAAACTATATTTTTTTAGATCGATTGTGTGTGAGAGCCGTGAAAGTTATGTATACAACCGAAATAATATAGGACAAAAAAATTATTGAGTCGTATACACAATTTCAACCGTGTATCACGAGTCAAATATGATATATACAGATGCACACGCCTTCCTGAGCTCCAGATTTCCTTTCTTTGACTACACACTGTTATGAATAGAGGTAGAAAGCAGCATTTTAATATAAGAATATAAGAAATGATCAACTTAATGTGACAGAACTGCAAACGACATTCAATTTTGATTTTGAATACACATGTATCTTTATGAATTTTATGGTAGAAACAAATATTCAGGTGGAACTATCCGGTACTAACAAGTACTACAATTGATTGAGTTTGAGTATGGTTGCTGTGACGAGAATGGGGTAGAGTTTCGGTTTACGTTCCGTAGCCTCGTTAAAATCGCCGTATCTTCATTAATTGTGTGGTTCAAACACAAATTCAGGTAGAACTATCAGGTACAAACAACGTCCAAATGATTGAAAATGTTTCCAATTTTTTTTACGATGTGTGCCAGTGTAATGCTGGTACCACCACAATAGAAAGTGCTGTATCTTGTAAGTGGTTTTCGTACAAACAGGTACAAACCAATGGTAATGGTTTCAGCGATTTCTGTTGTGGTGGTAGTGCCAACTTCACGCACATCATTTGGACACATACAGTAGGCGGGCTGCATTATCCGAATTTCAAACGTACGAGTTATAGGTACAATTGAAATATCGAATAATTATTTTTTAAACGTGTTTGATTCAATAAAAAAATGGAAAAAATAGTACATAGAATGTTTCATAACACGAAGCAATATCCGAATATTTATCGTAAGCAGTACTGTAATTCCACTTCCAATCTCCTAACACATAATATGTTTGGAGAAGAGAGTTTTAACCAAGTAAGTCCCACTGACGCGTCAACGCCAAACTTATATATCTCGCTTTCTTCAGTGTTAAATTAAGTATCATAGTTGTTAGACGTTTCGGCTTACACAAGACGCAATAGATTTCCGATAATGTCATCTCGTAATGTTTGTTCAATTTTTTGTGTTTAAAAACTTCACTCATTTTCAAAAACTTATTTTCATTTTTTTTATTTTGGAATGTTTTAGCAAGAAGATCTTAGAAGCGTTATCCCTTTTTTAGCCCTATATCATTAACTTTTGAATGTTATTAACGATGTTATAATTTGAAATTTGTTCCATTTGAAATTTAAAAGTTACCCCCCCCCGCTCTCTATCAGAGGTTTGTGAGGTGCTCACTCTTATCAATACTAGATAAGATTCTTAAAAACACCATCATGTATGACCCCTGGTGCAATGTCACTAGAATTGCAAAAAATTGTGTGTTCTACGATTACCGATTACAGCGCCATCTACTGGAAAACAAAAAAAGTATCAATCAAAATCTACATATTTTTTGCGGCAAATTCGGTTTTGGGTTTTTTATTTGAAATCCGCAAGTTGCCACACCCCCATCCCCATCGGGTGGAGGTGGCATATCAAGATCGGTATCATCCAATAGGCCCTTCTGAGACTAACAAATTTTATTCAAAACATTTCTTGAATACGATTCTTAGTTTTTCAAGATATTTAGTGGTCTAAAGATAAAAAATATATATATATATATAATATATATATATAGTATATATATATATATATATATAATGTTTTAATTATTTTTTAATTGTATATATGGGTTAATTAGTTTGAAAATAACATTCAAAAAGAATTCGTAATGTGTTCGTAGGCTTCCGCGTCCGAAGTCATTGGATAATTGGCTGCCCGGATTGAGCAGCGTAACTCACTCGACTGAGACGCGGCTGTACCCGGACAGCCAATTATCCAAGAATTTGTAATATTGATATCATATTTGTCTATTAAAATACGTCGGCCGGCTTTTTATAACACTAATTCAGTATTCACCTGATATTGATGGTAGAAACGACGAAAAACCACAGATCAGACCAGCTAGCCGCTGTACTCCTTCTCCAGGCACCGGCTGAATCAGACCTAGCTTGCGAAGAATAAAAACATGTCCGGTGCAATCAAAAGAAATGAACAACGAAAAAAATTGAAATAAAAAAGAAACATGAGACACCTCGCGCCAATCCGCTTATTTTGATGAAGAAAGCCGATACGGAGAGTTTATGAGGACAGAATCTTCCCAGCGATAGCTCCAGTGAGTCCCCCTCCCTGACCTGGAACGACTGAAGGTGGGAGGGTAGGTTGTTCCGAGACAGGTGCAGCTGACCCCCGCAAGGGCGCATGGGTGACGACGATTACCGCCCCCACAGCGAGACGCCTGCCACGCGTGCGTATATACCCGCGGCGGAGCGCGCCAGTGGTACTCCGCGTTGGCTCTCCTGCTCCGCCATGGCCGCCCAGCCCCTGCTGCTCCCGCTGCTGCTGCTGGTCGCATCGCTCCACTCGCTCACGGACGCCGCCAAGACTGCATTCAAGTTCCGTGAGTATATCAATCACTGCGAGTGGTGATTTCGATGCGCGAGTAGCAGAGAAACCTCAAAAACCGACTCTTATTTAACACGGAGTAAATTGCGTTATCGCACATATTTACGACTACGTTTCACGCTATCAAATTTTAGCACTGTTTATTTTCGCGGGTTCACTTTGAATTCTGTTCGTTCGTGTATTCGAAATGAACCTTTAGGTAAAACGTTATGTATTTGCTACGTCTTGTTTTATTTAAAAATTATGTATATTTTTGTTTCGTTTACGTTTTCAAAAATATCCAAATATTTATCACTGAATTTTTCTAATAAGAACAAAAATAATTGACATGCCGTTCTCTTTCTCTAGTTCCTTCTGTATATAAATGTAATACCTTGCGATTATTTAAACTTCTATTAATACATTTTTAGCCGATTATTTTCTAGTACCCGTGATTATTCTAGTGGTGTCGATGTTTTGTGATGTCTAATGGCAGCTAGACATATACTGTAAGTACGTAAGCGCACGTGCAAAATTAGCAGAAAGAAATAGCTTGTAATAATTAAAACAGTAGCATAAAATGACATGATATGCCATGTCTTATTATCTATTTCGTTTAGTTGTTTGAAATTTAGTGTTCTAAGAAACAAGTTAACGATATGAGAGCTGCCGAACCCTACACACGTGGTTCTCGTTTCTCTCTCCGAACCTCTACCACTATGTAAACCTAACGAACGTGCCGGGGCGCCGATCTCCGAAACGCCGCAGCTCTTGAGTCACTCCGTCTGCTCTGCACGGCCGACGACTGCACCGCCACCGGCCACGTCGCCGTCGCCGTCTCCGTCGCGACATTTTCCGACATGGCGGCGGCGGCGGCGGCGGCGGAGACAGCGGCGCTTGGAGACGCGGAGCAGCTCTGTAGCCCATTGTGTGGTGCGCGTGTTGCAGCTCCCTTCATCCACAAATGCTCACTCAAGGACCCCAACGTGGAGCAGTGCGCGCTGGAGTCTGGCCGCATCGCGCTGCCTCACTTGGTGAAGGGTGAGTAAACTCTGCTTCTTCGCCCTCGACTATTAACAAGCGAATGAACACGCTTTTCACCTCGGATTTCTGTGCAGACATTCGTTTCTCAGTTATCTAAGTAACTGCCTTCGGGGTTGTGACTTTTAGTAGAATAATGGAACCTTCTTGTAGTAGTCTAGAGCGTTATCTTTCCTCTCCGTTCCTGTGATTTGTCTACGTGTTCTCGTTCCAACGATCAGAGTGTGATATTTTACTTAGATATTTAAATATTGTGTTGCTTTGTACTGACGATCGTTACACAAGTCAGAATAAGTAACTATGGATTGAATGGAACTAGGTTGTATCATATATTCGTTATTCTATAATATTTGGAAGAAAATATTACGTTGCAAAAGAATGTTTGGAAAACTTGTAATTGGAATAGAAGCTTTGGTTTCGAAATGTTATGTAATTTAAGTAGACAATAAGTGTCCACAAACTCACTTACTTTAATGGTTTATTTTCTTTAATCGCTATTGATTTATTATTCAACGTAGTCTAAATATTTTTATAAAATTACGTATTTTAATTACTACAATGGTTTGATTTTTATTGCATTTAGGGTCACGTACGCTACTGCATTTTCCGTTTCTATCACTAATAATCAAATATTAAAAACACATCGAGAGAAAAATTACAGTAAATATTTTTATAAAGTACGTACAAAAATTAACATTAATTATTTTTACGTCATTTAGGAATGTAGCTAATTTTGAGTATTAAAAGAAGAATAACTTCGTTACAAAAGAGTTTTGAATTAATTTATATCGGACCTGCTTCCCTTGCAGGGCATTCAATGGCCGATTTACTGATCCCGATGAGTTTTTCTTAATGTTTGAGTGTCATTCTGAACTGCATATACGTGTATAAAAATACCGTTTTGTGACTCAGTATTTAGTAAAGTGATGAAAATGTGCCTACCCCATTTATATTATACACTCGTCTCCGAATATAATGAATTTCCAGGGGCAAATATTTTTAGTTCACTATATCAGAGGTTTACTATATCTGAAGGTGTCAATTTAACTATAATTTCTACACTCTCTTCTTTATGTAGAGATATCACAAAATACATTAACAACCCAAAGTGACAATTTTAATACCTTTATTAGGGGTTCAAAAATCAATTATTTTCTTCTGTTTGCTTCGTACATTTTGCATTAGTAATTTCTCTAGATCTTTCTCCATACTTGATTCTGCATTGTGCATTGTCTATATGAATCATAATACAGTCTCACATGATCTTAATAAAAGAGCTAATTACGGGCAACAAATTTCGTTTCCAGGGAAAATCTCTATTTTTAATTATTTAGTCTACAACTAGACACAAAAAATATACTTTTGAAATTTTCTAAAATTTAGAGTTAAGTTTATGTTACTCTATTCTTACGAGAAATTTAAGGAACAATTTGAAATCAGTTTTGAGAAAAGTTTGAAAATGTCCCAAGGGCTTGATGTAAAGTCCCCAAAAATTTGAAAAATGTTTTTCAAAATCTCAAAGTTTCGACTCGATCCGGGTGGATAAGGAGTTCTTCAATTTGGAAAAACATCTACACATATTTTAGGCGCTTGTAGTGTTCATAGACACCATACGTTCACAGACACATTAAAAAATGGGACATGGAACACAAAACGTGTATTTGTTGAAATCTCGAAATCGATTTTCCGCAGCATTACAAATTTTCCCTATTCTACGTATTATACTCAGCGTGTGGGAAAGTAAAAAAGGTTACGGTATAATACATACGCGATTCATTACTCGTCAATAAAACGATCAGTATATCCCCCTACGTGAAGTAGATGAGCCGCAGCATATTATTGGCTATTAGGGGAGGAGTGGTAAGAAGATCGGTGCCACCGAATTATACAGACTTTCTCGTATTAGTTTTCTAATTTCTTTGGTCTATTCTTATTTTCCTCATTCTCTTGGTAGCTTTCATCTACTACTTTATTAGAATATTGTTAAAGATATTTAACTCGTAGGACATATCAGGGCTTTGACAAATCTTGGAAATTTTGATGCATCTTTAATACAGTCAAAAAGGACTCACAGTTATGCTCAAGTTGTAATTGCCTCTTTTCTCTGTCAGGTAATCCGTCAATGCGTCTACCTTCCCTTGATCCCCTGAGTGTGACAGAAGTTCGCGTTCAATCAGGCAACCAATTGGATATGCATTGCCGCAACATTGTGCTAAAGGGTTTGGCCAATACAGAACTCTTACACATAGGGTAAGTAGCATAAACCTATTTCACTTTTCTACTTTATATTAATCTAAGCATACCGACTAGATGTCTAACTAAGAATTTCTGGATTTCAGTCTATTGCTTTTATGGGTTAACTATCATAGCGACTAACACTAAGGATACCTTCTTGACCCATATGCAGAATTTTTTTGAAGAAATATTATTACTTGGGGGCGGATTTTTATTACCTAAAACATCGTCAAAAATATCAATAAACTGCTTTTAATTTTGTTTTAAAATGCCCTAAAAACAAAGAAAAATGTTATAAAAACCAGTTCGGATGAAGAAGTCAAGCTGTTCGATACGTTACTGATGTAATCCAGGCTGCTTATTGTCATTGAAGTGAACTTAATTTTCAAAATTTGGGTTTGAACTGTTCTTTATCATAACGAAAACTAATCGACAATGGCGCTGATAGGCAGACAACAGTTGATGTTACACTTTCTGGGTGAACAAATCGAAGAGGCTACTCAGGAATTCTGTCGAGAACATCTCGTAAATATTATGTAAAGCAAGCAGCATTAAAATGATATTCAAATCGATGAAATCCACAAAATATGCATTAAAAATGACGGTAAAGTGAAAAAACATTTAGACGAAATCGAAAAATGAGTCATTTCTTTTTCCTAATAACATAAACACTACAAGGCATTGTTCTAAAGTAAAAATACAAAATATATGAACTTCCCATTAAACTCCGCCCCTAGTATTACCTTCTTACAGCTCGCTGGAGAGGTCCAAACAATTATCCGTTTTGGTTAAATGAATAACGTGGTGAAAAATCTCATGCATTGGGAAGTTGAAACTTACAATTTGTTCCTTCTTATTGAAGGGCTATTTACTCTTGTACTGGTGTTGGCAGGTTTCACAAGATAGTTTGACTGAATGTTTGAAAAAAATGATGTACCTGTCCAAAAATATTCAAGTTGACTTTTCTTGCAGCTGTTCAAAAACATAGTTCATTATTGTCCATATAGTTATGCTTTTGTACTTAACATTGGCACAATATTTGCCATTAACTGTTACAAAGTGAAATGCATAGTTTATTGCAATATTTGGCATGTATTGCAATTAATAAAATGACGGTAAAGTAAAAAACATTTAGACAAAATCGACGGAAAAAATGAAAAAAGACTCATAATATATGGGTAATTTCCTTTTTCATTAACATAAATAAAAAATATATCCACACTCCAAGACAATGGGTTCTACTAAGCGAAAATAAAAATCACCTATCATTTAAAATCGGCCCTAGTTTATTAACTTTTAAAGCTTGCATGGGGGTCCACCCAAGCTGCATGGGTTGAAGGCTATTCAATACTCTTGTACTGGTGTTGGCAGGTTCACGAATAGTTTGACTGATTTAAAAAAAGTGGTACCTGTCAAAATATCAAGTTGACTTTTCTGCAGCTTTCAAAACATTAGTTCATATTGTCCATATACGGTATGGCTGTACTACTTACATTACAATATTTGCAATGTAATGAA